ACCCATACAAGTGCTTAAAAACATAATTCAAGATTTTGCCCTAATCAACCCCTAAAAGGCAAATCTAAATTCGGAGGTGAATTATAGAATCCTTCGCATACCGTAGCGAAGCACGGGTGTATCAAGCTAGTTAGTTTACATTTGATAAGGACCACAAACCATGGTCGAAACGTTGTGTATTTGAATATTATATTAATAAATAGTCTGTTGGGTCGAATTAAACAATCTCCTTTGTTAATTATTGAAGTATGCAATTTGCAAAATGCAGTTATACATACCTTTAGTTTATGAGATATCTCATATATTTCATATCAAAATATATCAGAATAAAATTAAAAATATCTCGTACTATATCTCACACAGCAAAATATATCTGAGATATAGCCAGATATCTTTATGCCTACAATTTTAAGTCAAATCTGAGATATCTTATTTTCAGATATTTACAGAATATCTGCAGGACATCATTACTCGACATCACATTATATCTTTAAAAAACACATCTCTGCAACATTTGCATTCGAATATATGGTCGATTTATAGTTAGCTCTTATATTTTATAAAAAATCAACTCAAGTTTATTCGTAGCCAATAAAACAATCCGAGAGGACTTGTGGACGCCGTATCGATTCGTCCCGGCGAAAGCCAGACGCCGCGCGAAAACTTAGGAAATTTTCACTCGGGCGGCGCCGGAAGTAACGACCGCGACGCGAAAGCAACTCGCCGTGAGGGGACTTAGAAAACTTTTGCTGGGGCTGCGCCAGAAGTAACGACCGCGGCGCGAAAGCAACATGCCGCGAGGGGACTCAGAAAATTTTCGCTCGGGCGAGCACTAGTAACATGCGCTTCCGCGCCGCGGCTACATGCGCCAGCATGGTATAAATACAAGGGTATGCTCTTGCGCACGCGACCAATCAGAATTGTCGAAGTGTGACGTCACAGATAAGCGGTAAATTTAAAACTGCTGTTTCCAAACAGCTTATGTTAGCGGCATTCTCGTCAGATATATTATTTTAATTTCAAGTTTGCAGGGAAAAAATCTGTTGTAAAGTAATAGTTTATGAATTAATAAATACTTTGTAATAAAATATAATATAAATAAACATTATAAACTTAATAAATATAGAAAAGTTTACAAAACAAATATATAAAAATGTTAATATTTTTTTTACTTTGTTTGACAGCTTTCTTCCTCATATCACTTTATAGGGATTAAATGACAACAATAATAATAACATATATAAAGATGCTATGAAAAAGATTTATTATTCGTAAATTTGGTTAACTTCTTTTTTTTATTCTTAAATCTATTTTGTACAGCAATGGTTCGATTAATTTCGCGTACCCTAATGTAGGTTCTTGTCCTAACAAGACATAGCAAGACCTCTCTTGGCAGTTCGATAGGTTTTAATGCAATTTCTATTTTATCCGTAAGTTTCTTGAAGATGAATTTGTCTTTACTAAGCTTTGAACCGTGATACTTGGAGAATTCTGTGTTCATAATATGTGCAGCTTTTAAAAGATCAGACGATGGGTACATGCATTTCCCTCGGGAAATAAATTGTAACCAATCTAGATCATTGACAATTGGTAGTTCGCATGTTTTAATACCTAGTGTGTCGTGTTTACTTTTGAATCTATATGCTACATAGCCAGCTATATATAATAAACCTTGATCCTCAATATTGTCGACAATTTCCATTTCATCTAATGATTTTAGTATTTGTTCTTCTTCTAAAGTAGGAATATATGTTGCTGAATTAAAGCATGGAACGCGATTTTCCTTATTATTATTAATTTCATTTTCTGTTAAGAATTCTTCTTCGATATGAAGATCGGTTGTTTCGTCTTCGTTTGTGTACGGCGCTAACATATTACTTAAAATATACTCTTCACAATTATCATCGTTAAGCGGAGATATTAAGCAGGATACATTTCGTTCGCTTTCTGTGACATTTGTATTTTTGCAGAAAATAGTCGTAGAAAATTTTCCTAATATATAGCGTTTTACTCTATACTTAAAATCTAAGGCTGTTGGTTGATCATTCGCACCACCACCATTCGATCTTATAAAAGAAAAGAAATTTTCTAATACATCTTGGTTTAACCGATTTGTTATGACATATTCAATATTAGCCGTGGAATACTTCTCAATTAAATACGGTAATAATTGTTCCAAAGAATTACTGCTCACGATGAACCCTTTCTGAAATAACATCAAACTTTTGTGATTTCCTACTCTTAGTTCGTACATGAAAGACGTCATTTCGTGAAGTATTGCATTTTGTTCCTCTAAGTTCTTGCCATATGCATTTTTTCCTGAATGGTTGCCGTACATCGATTTTGAGTTGAATATATCAAACCAGTCATTCAACAATTTAATCATACGTGCTGTTTTCACCCACTCTACATTTTCGAGAAAACCTTTTTGTCCACACCATCGTAATGAAGCAGCGGTAGTGGCAGACAGTAGCTGCACAGCTGGGAGTACTTTTTGTCGCTCAGTACCTTGCAGGTCTAAATGGTACTGAGATATTTTGTACGCCACTTTCAAATCCTTAATATTAATAGCTAACAACCGTTCTAAACTTTTTTTACTTAAAATTACTCCGTTAACGTTGAAGTCCTTATCGAGGAAATGATTACGCGCCAGCTTAACGAGATGGGGCATATCTGCAAATACGAAAACTTTGAGTTCAATACAAACAGGATGCTGAAAGTAACATTTTTTAGGTGCAATTCCTATTCCCATTTCTGACCACAATCCCATATTACCCGAACCCATATCACTCGTCACAGCAATAACCGTATAACCTATATTATACATTTCCGAAATAACGTGCAAAAGCGTGCTCTTAGACATAGGTTCATCAAAGTTGTAATACACTGGCTGCTTCCAATTGGAAAACAAGCTTCGTACCATGATACATTGACACGTCTTGTGAGGTCCAACGACTTGCTCACATTTGCGATCTATAGCAATTTTATTAGATAAATAGACCTCATCGAATGTTACCACTACCAGTTTTTCAGAGTCTTTTAAGCATTTCCCTTTCTGTTTCATGCACTCGAGCACACACGATATAACACCTGTTTCTGCTTTGATAGAACTTGCCCACCTTCTGAGCGTTGATGGACCAGGGAGCGGTATCTGCAAAACATTCCTTAAATAGCGATATGCCTTCGGACTGATAGATCGTAACGATATAGCACTTGCTATATCTTCTGGAGACCATGATATACGTTTCTTAGACGGGTTTAGTAACATCCGTATTTGCCCCGGAGTAAATATTTTTCCGAGTATCTGGTATATTTTTGTTTCCGCATTTTCGTCGCCTTTCTTCTCTTTCTCTTTGTACATAAGCAACTTCTTTTGTGTTGCTGCTAATTGCTCTTCAACACTATTACTGAAAGTAAACAATAAAAACCAACATTATTCTTTCATATAATGACCTGAAAAATTTCTAAATGTTAGTTTGTAACTCACAGTTTCTTCAAGAGAGCAGTTACATCCTTTGATGTAGATGGTAACGCTGTTATAGTATTGATCGACTGGATTTCTTTTGACACAGGTATATCATCGCCAAATGTGGCAAATAGCACTGTATCGTTGCATGTTGATTCCGAAGTTGATGTGTCATTGCATGTTGATTCCGAAGTTGATGTGTCATTGCATGTTAATTTCGAAGTTGATGTGTCATTGCATATTAATTCTGACATATCCGACGTATCAATTAATGGCAATGATCTTTTATTATAACGAACAGCTTCCATTTGCGGCGCGTCACACATTAAACGCAACGTAGGAATTGCATCTGGTCTCAATTTTGTCAGTCTTTTTTGAGCATAGAAAAGGGACTTTTCTTTCGACGGCTGTACAAAGCATGATGCATCGAAGTGTTGGGAACATATCATACCTAAACACAAAATTATATGCAGTTCACTTCATTATATTTGTACATTTACAAGAAATATAAAATCTTACTTTTTTTAATGTTAACGTTGAGGTTAACGTTTTGTTTTCCACATGCTGCAAGCCACTTAGCTGCGACAGAGAGAAGAATGAGAGACGACACGGCCCGGTTTTAGGTGATCCGC